AGCATCAGCATCAGCATCAGCATCAGCATCATCATCATCATCATCATTATCCCCGTATCCATTCTGGCTCAAGCCGTTTGTCGGTCTGAGCCGGAGAGTAAGCCTACAGGCCCGCCTTTTCATGTTTGCGCGACTCGTCGCTTTCATATTCCACGTCGCATTCTTTCTGCAACCCTGCCTCCGCGGGAAGCTCCTCCCAGGCCCGGATGACGTCACATGGCAGAGATTGGGCTCAGGAGGGCTGGCAGCAGCACACCGACGGATCCTGGAGCAAGGGCACCCGGTATTGGCACCCGCAGCAGTCGTCTCGAACGTGGGAGTGCAAGGTCTGCCATTCCACCAACTGGTGCCCCAAGACCAAGTGCTCAGTTTGCGGCGTGAGGAAGTCGTTCGTCCCTGCATCGGCTTCCACGGGAACGCCACCGTCAGGCTCTCCAGCAGCTGGGGTGGCAGCACAGCTCTCGGAGGTTGCCTCGATGCTCAAGCTGGCCTCCCCGCAGGGCGAGACGGATGTCCCTTCGTCTTCATCGGTCCAGAGCCCCTCGAACGAGGCCCCCGACATGACCAGGAGCCAGCGCCAGACCGCCATCAAGCAGTTGGAAGCAGCGTTGGCCACCCTCCACGGCGTCGAGCATGCGGCCCTGAGGGATTCGATCAACCAGGAGATTGCCAGCCACAAGCAGGCGATCATCTCGGACAAGCCCCTGGGCCAGCGCAGGGACCACTGCAAGGCCGCGCTCGAGAGGGCCAAGAAGCGCTCCCAGCAAGCCCGAGAGGCCCTACGCCTCGCGGAAGCCGCCGTCCAGGCCGCCGACAAAGAGGAGCTCCGCCTGGCGCAGGAGCTCGCCGACCTCCAGCAGGCCATCTCCGAGGCTCCCGTTCAAGAGGAGGGCCTCGCCGCACTCAAGTCGCAGTTGGAGGCGGCCTGCCAGCAGCTGTCCAAGGTCGAGGGCACGCATCCCGACGCCATCGCCGACGCCGAGGCCCGCAGTCGGGACCTTCTTCTGCGCTTCGAGGCTTCCCTGGCCCAGCACGCTGCCAAGGAGGCGGGCGGCGTGAACGTGCCGCGGCGCCACTCGGCGAAGAGCCCTCCAGTGCCAGGGGAGGGCGCGAGCGCCCCCGGGGTCCCGCTCACCCACCGCCACGTGGGCAAGCAACCCCTACAGCCGCAGGAGAAGAAGAAGAAGCAGCATACCCTCACCAATTACTTCAACCTCTCCAGCGGGATCCCGGACCCCGCAAAGATGGCCCCTCCGCGCCCGCGGAGCCAGGGCCCCGAGCAGAGGTACTCGCCATATCCCGAAACGCCACCATCGTCAGCAGCACGGAGATCAGCATCAGCCCGCCCACAGGTGTCTTTTGCCGACGTGGTCGCGAAAAGCGACGGGTGAACTTCGCCATGGAGGCGAACCAGTACCACTACATTCCCGACCTCGGGTTTCACCATCAAGATCTCCAAGTTTACGACAGTGCTCCTTCGAGGTGGCAGAGACATTGCGAGAAGAGAGCTCGCAACGGAGCTCAGCTCATTCTTGCCACCTTCAATGTCCAGACACTGGATCCGAAGGAGCGCCGGCAGCTACGCCGCATCGGCGAGAGCGCCACCGCTCGCACGCACTACGTTGAGGACTTCTTCAACAAGCATCATATTCAGTTGGCAGGCATCCAGGAGTCGCGACTTCCCGATTCTGGTTGTCAAAGTCTGGACCATTACTTCGCCTTCTCCGCCCCCTCCACTGACGACGGGTTGGGGGGAGTGCAGATCTGGCTTCATAAGGGCCTCGAGGTCCTGGCCAGCACGGCGGCTGCGAATGCAGTCAGCCCCCGTCTGCTACGCACGGAGTTCTCTGCAGCAGGCCTCACGTTGACAGCCATCTCGGCGCGCGCCCCGGTGGCATCAGCGCCCGCGGAAGAGAAGCGAGCCTTCTGGGCATCCCTCCAGAAAGAATTGGCCGCTGCACTGCACAAGCGCGCCCTAGTCGTCTTCATTGATGGCAGCGATGACGACGAGGCGGCCGGAGTCAACTCCAACTACCAGTTCGCCCTCGAGTGCCGCCTGGCGCACGACCTCCAGGACGCCGCCGAGCTAAGCGGCACCATGGGGCCCACCTGGTTCGGGATCCCGGGCCGCGAGAAGCGCAGCGACCATGTCTGGCTCGGCCCCCGTTGGCACCGCAAGCTGCACGCCACGAGCGTCCTGCAGGATTCGCTGTGCTTCTCCGAACGAGAGGACCACCGGGTAGTCAAGGCCACGGTCGCCTTGGACCAGTCGCTGGGTCCGAGGCCCGCGCCCAGCCTCAAGATGTCATCGGAGAAGTTGCGCGACCCCAAAGTACGCCAGGCCTTCGAAACGGACATATTCGCCCTCGCGGACGAGCTCCAGCACAACGTCACTCAGGGCCCCGACGTCTACCACGCTCAGATGATCGAGCACGTCCAGGACCTCCAACGCAAGCACTTCTTCGCGCCGGCGTCACAAGTTCCCAAGAAGCCCCGGATCTCTTCGACGAGCTGGGCTCTCATCAAGGACACCCCATGGCATCAGGAACTTGGCAGTCTGGAGCTGGCAGCAGGTGCAGCGCCTCCTACTCCAACGAGGGTTTCAAGCATGGGCAGGTCATCTGCGCAGTCCTGCTTCGCCCGAGTATGCCGCTCTACGTGGGTCCATCGCGGCCGCCCGCAGGAGGGCGGCTCAGTCCTCTGCCTCCCTGTCGGCGCACCGCAATGCCACGAGGGCGCTAACTCGGGCCGATCGGCAGACCTGGGCAGAGGGCCTGGCAAGGCAGGCGGACGTCGCAGACCGAGATGGCAACGCCAAGGCTCTGTTCGGCATCACCCGTCAGATTCGGACGCCCCGGGGTTTCCGGAAGCACGCGAAGGTCAACGACGAGCAGGGCCGCTCGCTGCACGATCCTGGTCAGATCTCCTCAGGGTGGAAGCGCCACTGGGCGTCCTTGTTCGCCGGCCAGATTCCCCCTATGAGCGAGGTCGCTGCCCGCGTGCAGCAATGCCCGCGTCCAGCACTTCACCAACCTTATGAACCGCTTGACCGCAGTTCGGTATGGCGGCAGCTTTCGTGGGTTCATCCTAAAAAGGGACCTGGGCCAGATGGTATTGGCGCTGAGGTGTGGCGCGCTGGGAGAGAGGGCACGCTTGACGTAGTCATGCCCCTGTTCAACTTGGCCACCTCGGCGGCGACGGCTCCGGTGGTCATGAAGGGCGGCAAGCTGTTCGACATCTGGAAGCAGAAAGGCGACCCCGCGAACTGCGACTCCAGCCGCGGGATCCTCGTTTCAGATCATCTCTCGAAGTGGTACTGCGTATCAATCGCCGAGCCCGTCTTCCAACATGTACACGACTTTCTTGGCCCTGCACAGTGCGGCTCTGCACCAGGAAGAGATGCCACTCTCCTCGCTACTGCGCTGCAAACGTTTGTCGAGAGAAACCGTACCACGCGCGCGTCATGGGCATTGCTTTTTCTTGACCTTGCCAAGGCCTTCGATTCCATCATCCGCGAGTACTTGTACGGAGTTGATCAACTACACCTACCCGCGCTCGCCGAAGATCTTCAGCGTGCTGGCATTCCTCCTGAGGTTGCCCGCGAAGCACAAACCTACCTTCAGCATCACCCGCCTCTCCTCCAACAAGCAGGCCTACATGAAGACGACGTGCGCCGGGTGGCCGATTGGCACACCGGCACGTGGTTTGCAGTCTGGGGCGAAGGGGATGATGCTGTACTCGCTCGGCGCGGAGCCCGCCTGGGATGCAGGTTGGGCGCCCTATGCTTCAACCTCGGCTACGAGCTGGGCCTCGGGCGCGCGAGACGCCGTTTCACCGAAGAGGGCATCGTCCTGCAGCTGCTCGCGCCGGCCGTGCTCGCTGTACCTTGGGCCACAATCCTCGATGATAAACACAACCTGCACGAGGCTACCAACGCGCCGAATGACGCCGAGTACGTGGACGACGCGGTCTTCATGTTCCAGCAGCAGCAAGAGGGTCGCACCGAGCAGGTCCTCCAGCAATTGGATAGAGCTACTGATATTCTTGTACAAGAGTTCCGCAGGATTGGCCTCACCATCAATTTCGGCCCTGGCAAATCGGCAGCCATGGTGAAGCTCTTCGGCCCACGCTCTCGCACGCTCCGCCAAGAACGCTTACTGCGTCAAGGTAAGGAGGAGTTCGTCACACAGCACGGCAACGCCCTTCAAGTGGTTCATCATTTCCAACATCTTGGGGCCATACTACAAGACGCTGGCGGGCACCAAGCCGACGGGCGCCGCAAGGCCACCAAGGCCCAGCAGTCTTTCGCGCCGCTGGCGGTGCCGATCTTCGGCTCCTCGCACATCCAGCTGCACACGAAGCTCATGCTCGCGCAGTCCTTGCTCTCGCGCGCCCTCTACGCTGTTGCTGCCTGGAGGGGGCAGCTGGACAAAAGCTGGCAGCCGCTCGAGGCCCAGTACCACCGCGTCCTGCGCAGGATCAACGGCACCATGCGGTACGGCGCCCCCGACACCATCACCGACGCTGCTGTCCGCGAGGCCCTGTCTGCCCCTTCGTTGCGCTCGTTGGTCCGAGCTCGTAGGCTCGCCGGCCTCAGTTCGCAGATGTCTGCTCCTCCGCTAGTGGTTAATGGTATTTCTGCGATTCCGAAGCCCCCGTCCGCGTTTGAGCTATTGCTTGATTTGAGACATCTTCAGCGGTTTCACTTTGACTATTTAGCGGTCTTGGGGGACCCATTCGCCTTTCCAGGAGCATGGAAGGAATACATCACCGCCCAACCGAAAAGGTGGAGGCGCTTGTGTCATGAGTTCAGCGCGTGTCCCCACCCGGCTGAGCGCCCTCCCTCCTCCGCGAGGCGGCTGCGAGGCAAGCAGGCGGCAGATGCCAGTCTCTTCGTGCCCAAGGATCCACTCCTCCCTTGCCCCACGTGCGGTAAGCAATGTAAAGGGGCGAAGGGTCTGGCCGCTCACCAACGCCACTCCCACGGCGTTAAGATGCAGGCGCGGTACTATATCATAGGAACACATTGCCCATGCTGCCATAAGAATTTCCACACTCGGCCTCGAGCCTTGCACCACCTTCAGTTTTCGAGCAGACAGTGCCGAGAGAAAATGAAGGCATGTCTCTTACCCCGCCACTCCGAACAGGCTGTGATAGCAGCCGACCGGGCGGATGCTTTAGCACTCCGCGCCACGGGAGCCCGAGGCGAAACTCGCACTCGAGCCTTACTTCCTCCGCTGGCGCCTGACGTGGACCCAGCGGTATAAGTTCTGCTTTAACGTAGTCTGCGCTGCCCCTTGGCCGCGCTCGCTGCTTCCTCAAGCCGCGACTCCAGCAGAGCTCCAGGTCCGCCTACAGCCCAGCCAATCAATCATCATCATCATCATCATCATCATCATCATCATCATCATCATCATCATCATCATCATCATCATCATCATCATCATCATCATCATCATCGTCATCGTCATCGTCATCGTCATCATCATCATCAATCTCATCGTCATCATCATCATCATCATCATCATCAGCATCATCAGCATCATCATCATCATCATCACCATGATCATCATCATCATCATCATCATCATCATCGTCATCATCATCATCATCATCATCATCATCATCATCATCATCATCATCATCATCGTCGCCATAACCGATATTCCGTCTTGCGTCGCCTAGCCTCTTCCCATGCCTCCTCCACCTTGCAAGGAGGCTTCCTGCGCCGACCTGGACCTGCATGAACCAAATTGGAGCTGAAAAATCGTCCTCGTCCTCCTTCTCCCAAACGCAGCAATGTGGAATGGCCCAGTCCAAACCGCCTACAGTTCGGGGAAGCCCAACGCCCACTCCCGCGACCCCCATGGGACCAGTGGCCGCCTGGGACGCACGTGGACTGTGCCGCTGGGGCCCTCTGTGGAGCTCCCCATGGTGCCGCGAAGCGCGCGAAAGGTGTGCCGAGATGGTGTCGATATTGTTGACCTGCGGAGGGCAGAGGGTCGGATGGGAGGAGGGAGGAGAGGGGAGGAGGAGGGAGTGATGAGCGCGGGGCGCTGTCTCTTTGAAACGAGGGCCTGACTCCATAAGACGGTTGGCAGGAAAAGGGAGATAGAGAGAGAGAGAGAGAGAGACAGAGAAAGAGCACGAGAGGGAGGAAGGCGGGCGCGCAGGCTCCTCTAAGTTGGACGAGGCGCAGCACCAGCGCGCCGAAGGCGTGTGTATTTTTGACGCTAGGCAGACATCGTCTTCGTCGTCTTCGTCGTCGTCGTCGTCGTCGTCGTCCGCCGAAGCCGTGTGTATTCCTTGACACTGAACAGACATAAGGTGTACAGCTGTTAGGCCTGTGCGGCGGCAAGCAGATCTGACCTAGGCGAGGTGGCGCGAACATCAAACACACCTCAGCACTTAGCGGTGGAAGGCAGGCCATGAGCCAATGAGAAGAAGGGCAGCCCGGGCGCAAAGTACGTGTGCGCAGAGGTCCGTGGACGGGTGTCCCTAGGAGGCGGCCGGGGGGTCTGAACTGGTTGGGACCCCAGAAAGTCGGTCAGGAAGGGGGATGGAGCCACATCCGCTCTGAATCGGTCCCTGGACCTCTCCCGGGGGCTATCCGGTTCAGTTTTTCGCCCTGGATTAGTTTTTGCAGGCCCAGGGGCGCGAAAACCGCTCGCAGCGCCATGGAGATGCAACAATCCTTCCAGAACCCAGCGCCTCGAAACTCGCCCCCCCCGGCCTGCAGGCCGGCACCGGTGCTGGGCCACCTCGGACAACCAGCCGGCTCCAACGTGGACGGGTGTCCTCCTCTTCGTCCTCCTCCTGAGGATCCTCGTCCTCGTCCTCCGCCGCGGGCCTGCGTCGCGATGTGCTCGACGAGCGCGGCGTCCACCTGCCGGGGCCCGCCGGCCGAGGTGGACTTTCGGACAGCACGGCGAAGGAGGAGAACTGAGTACCGAACACGGTAGGTTCGCGCGGCGTCGGCGCGAGCAGAGGTTTGTGACACCGCGTCGATCGTTCAGCCTTGAACCGGTCGCGGCCTCGATCGTTCAAAGTGGACTCCCGTCGGGTCCTGTGGCGTTACCGTGCTCCTCGGTGCTTCCACGTCACAATATTCGACCTTGATCGCCTGCGCGCGTCGCCGGCGCGCCAACGCCGCATGACCGTACCGTACTGCTCTGGAAGGACCAGCCACCTCGTCTCGCAGCTGAGCTGCCTCTGAGCGTCGAAGTCTCATCGGCTGTCAGGCTCAAGATGCTGGTTGAGCCTTCATGGGGGCCTCTATGGACCTCCGCGGCCCTATCATAAACGTGATTTCGGCCAGATTTCGACCACCCTTCTTCACCCTTTTGTCGTCCAAGCTTCGTCCAGATTTCGTCCAGATGTCGACCAAGTCCGACTTGTTTGTTCTGACAACTTTCCTGAGCTGTTGTCTGAGCCGCAAAGACCACTGGGAGCAATGCAGACGAGACCATAATGAATTGTGCTCAGTTTGCTCTCGCCCTGTATCTACAATTCAAGCACAAGCACGGGCAAACCTATGGGAGTGCAATAATTTCTGTTCGCAGTGAGTTGTCCACTCCACTGCTCGCGCAAACATCCCACCCACCCACCCACAACTTGGTTTGCAAAATCTCTTAAGACCGTGACGGTGGGTACCAAATGGGACTTGGCAACGACAGCGACGCCGACGACGACAGCGACAACGACGACGACGACGCCGCCGACAACAACTACGACGACGACGGCGACGTCTCCAACGACTTCGACGACGCCGACAACGACGACGACGACGACGACGACGACGACACCGACGACAACGACGACGCCGACGCCGACGACGACGACGATGACAACGACGACGACGATGACGACGCCGACGACGACGACAACGACGACACCGACGACGACGACGTCGACGACGCCGACGACGACGACGACGACGACGGCGGCGACGACGACGACGCCGACGTCGACGACGACGAAGACGACGACGACGCCGACGCCAACGACGACGACGAAGACGACGACGAAGTCGCCAACGAAAACGACGACGAGGGAGGAGGGAGGACGACGACGGCGACAACGACGACAACGACGACAACGACGACAACGACGACAACGACGAGGGAGGAGGGAGGACGGCGACGACGCGAACGACGAAGAAGGAGGAAGGACGGCGACGCCGATGACGACAACGACGAGGGAGGAGAGAAGACGACGACGACAACGACGACGACGACGGCGACGACATAGGAGGGATGACGACGAGACGCCGACGACGGACGACGACGACGACGAGGGAGGAGGAGGAAGGACGACCACGGCGACAACGACGACGGAAACGACCACGACGCCAAAGAGGAGGACGACGACGAACACGAGGAAAGACAGAGCACGACGTAGGCGACGACGACGACGACGACGACGTGGGAGGACGGCGACGACGACGACGACGACGACGCAAGAGCGCGTGCGCACGCTTTTGTTGAAAATCCGTGATGCGAAACCTGGTGTTTTTGTAGGTTTTTCGGACACACGATTTTGAAATCCTTCCGAAACCGATGGGTTTTGAAGGATTTCGGCATACGCGCGCGACGACGCGCGCGTCTGCACTTCGTCTCATTTTTTTGAATTGGCGCTGATATTGGTGATGCTGGCGAGGATAATTATGATACTGATGATGATGCTGTTGATGATGTTGCTGATGATGATGAGCTCGCTAGGACAGGTAGCGATTGTCTTTAGGTTGCGCGCGAGCGGGCGAGGAGATAATCACGACGAGCATCGGCACAACTTGAACTGTCGGAGGTCCGCGCGGATTTCTTGGATCGCCGTGGACCCAAGAAATCCGAGCGGACCTTCGACAATCTGTAATTAAGCCTACTCTGGTTTGTCGCGAGGAGGAGGAAGATGAGGTGGATGCATCTCGGCAGCCAGGGTCCCGCAAACGGGGACTTCAAATACCATTACCCGTCGGCCGGAAAAAGAGGGTAGAAACATGAAGCAGGAATGCGTTGGAAGTAGATTGGGCTCACGCCCGCTCCCTGAAGAGGGGGGACAGGGACAGCCGCTCGACTCTTGAAGTAAGAAGGCGCTTGACATATATGGGGAGATGTATAGACAGAAATACAGCTGGACCTAGGACACACGAACATCCTTCAAGGACATGAAGCACTCCGCCGGCCAAACTGAAGTAGAGTCGAGGGTACCCTCCTCGAGGATGCCCCAAAACATCTAACGAACGCGAAGAACTTTAGGGCACCCTCCCCGGACCGACCTCGACCTCCCACCTCACAGAAACCCTGGTGTGCAGCGCCCTGGTCACAGAAGCGCCCTGAAACTAGCCCGCTGCCAGCTCGCCCTGGGCGTGGCTGATTGTTGGGGGGGGGCGACCAATGGGGGCCCCGAACGTCCGCCTGACACTTTCAAGGTCCTGGTGTGCAGCGCCCTGGCCCAAGAAGAAACCCTGGAGCAAACGCGCTGCAAGCTGGCCTTGGGCGTGGCTACGTGGGGGGGCAGTGATTAAATATGGGGGGGGGGGAGGTGCACTCTTCGGGGCCAGCAGGCCCCCTTTTCGGCCTGAAGAGCACTTCTAGGAGCCCTAGAGGGCCCCTTCTCTGCAACCCTCGCTGCCTTCTGTTTCTCGCTTCCCCCCCCCATTGTTGAGCAGGGGACCGACCGTCCCGGCATTCCTATAGGCCTGCCACGAAATGTTCTTGGAACCCCACAAATGTTCGAAGAACAGAAGCAATGTTCTTATAACACAAACCCCATGTGTTTAAACAGGACAGTCCTGGCCAGGCACGTTCGAAGAACATTTCGTGGACACCACAGAAGGTTTGAACATTGTTTGGTAGGCCTATAGGCACGCGGGAACGCTTGGCCAGTGCTTGACAGTGCGCGACGCGCCCCCCTCGCCGGGCGAAGGCACGAAGCCAGGCGCGCCACCTCCCGCAGCTGTGCGTCGAGCAGGTCGGCCGCGTGCCTTGCAGGCAAGGCTGCGGCGGAGAGGGGGAGACAAGCTGGGTGCGCTCGCGCCATTCCGTTACCATCTCGCTTCAACATTGCCCTTCCCATACTCCTCCCTGTCCCTTCCGATACCATTCCCTTCCTCAAGCTGGGTGCGCTCGCGTCATGCCTGTCGTCATACCCCTCCCTCCCAATCCTCTGAGCATGTTCCTAGTGTGATATGGATATCGCTGATATCGTTTGTCGAATGATCGCGCGGCGAAACACTCTGCGTAGCTCTAAGGCCAAGGGCCCTAGTTTGGAACAAAATGGCAGCGACAAGGCGGGCGTGAGAGATAGAGCGGGGAAGCAGGGAAGGAGCAGGAAAGGCACGGGGAGTGAGCGGGAATCACACTCCTCCTGATCGACGCTCGCGGCGCCGTCGAGCGACGATCATCGATCGCAGCTCACTTCATTAATCAGAGCGCTCCAAAACAAACACAGGCAAACGGCCTTGTCGGCATGCTATCCGGCTGCCTCTGGGCATTTAACGGGTGCTGCTACACGCACCGGCAAGAAATAAATAAATTCGCCAAGCAAGCAGCAGCGCGAGTCCGATCGCTATGCGGCAAAACACAAATAGCGCTATCTTATCAAGATAAGGTCTTAATAGTGTGGTCGTCACCACATAAAAAAAACTGTGCACACTGAATGAAGCTTCGAACAATGCGGACTAGCGTAATCTGCCACAGGATGTGGCGCCAAATGTAAAGAAAACGAGCTGGTAAGACAATTCGGACTAACGTAGTCTGCCACACGATGTGGCGCCAGGTGTAAAGAAAACGAGCTGACAGAACGATGCGGACTAACGTAATCTGCCACACAGTGTGGCGCCAGTTATAGAGCGACGGCGTGCGTCACGAAATCTTCTTTTGAGCTTTCGCCTTGCCGGGCAACCCTTGTAGCTGCCTCCATCTATTCTGTAAATCCCAGCGCAGACTATTGTGCATCCTCGAAAAGTCTGGCTCATGGGTCATGTGATTCCTGCGAAGCCATGACGCATGCTTCCTGCACGTCCTGCGGGTTATGTAGACACTATGTGTGTTGTGTCCCACACGTATGTTGTGCTCGGCGGCCACGCATGCGTTCATCTCCGATGGCGAAACCGTTGGCGTCGATCCGTTCCACGAAACCACACTGGCTGACGAGGAACTGTGAACCGTCATCGGCGATGATGGCGCAGAGCTCGCTCCCTGCGCGAAGCTGTCCGGTGATGGGGGCGGTGCGGCTGGCACTGCCGATCCGCTTGCTGATGATGAACTCTGGGCTGCGACGGCAATCATCGGCGGCTCCATGTAGACATCTCCGTCGACGTCTTCGGGAATGGTAGGCTGTGCGTTGTTGCGACGTCCAAGGTATCGTCCATCCCATCCTGGATATACTCCGGGCAAGGGAGTGTCCGCGTGCCCGGTGTGGTCGGCCTTGGACCCATTGCTGGTGTTGTTGATGGTCCCGATCTGGATGGGATTGGGGTCGCCTGGCCCAAATATCTCCTTTCGCACCACAAGCCACAGCGCTGCGAACAATGTAAATCCAATCGTGATCCCACTGAGCATCGCAATGAATGTCATGTAGTAGACCCGATATGACATCGGCACTTGCCATTCCTGTGGGGGATGCTGTGCCTTCACGCGTCCGAAACATGTCATCAGCACTGAGGCAAGCATGGCGGCGCGCGGTTGCCTAGTGCCAAAATTGTACTTCTTGGTCCCGAAGAAAGCGAGGAGCACTCCGGTCTCCATGATCTTGGTGAGCGCGTCGGCGACCATACTCCACGTAGGTATCCACGAGAGCTTCAGCTGGCTGTTGGGGTGCACCGTCTCCTTGATCATCGATGCCACGATGCGGAACCGCTTGTCCGTGGATTGACCCACGTCAGACTTGATGTGCGTCACCAGGCCGTTGCTGTCGCTGTAGATCTCCCCGGATCGTTTGGTGCTGAGGTCGTCGATCTGCTTGAGCGTCTTCTTCGGGTTGTAGGCCTCCGTAAGTAGCTGGCCGAACCACGTGCTCGACTCGGCGCCCTCCAGAGTGGCGTAGCCCTCGGCGGCCAGCGTCGACTTCACGGATCGCTTGACCGTGCCCGAATGCCAGGCCACAGGCAGGCACAAGTCATATCGTCCAGCCACGACGTCCCGTGGCTTGTGAGTTAGCCCAATCGCCATGCCCCACTGGCTCTTCACCCCGTCCACATTGGCGAAAGCCGCGTCGCTGAAACAGATGATGGTGCAAGTGCGCAGGTCGATGATGTTGCGCTTGATGACTATGGCGAAGTCGGCGGGCCCGTGCACGTAAGCGACGGTCTTGTTCAGCGTCTTGGCGTCGGCCACGGTGGCGGTGTTGGTGCGGCGAGCCGCAAGGCTCACCGGGCAGGCGATGTCCACTCGCGTCTGTACTGCGAGCCAAAGCAGTTGGCCGAGTGTGTGGCGGTACCCAGAGACCTCCGAGGTAATAAGCCGATCCTCTGGTGATCGTCCGCGTTGGGCGTTGAGTTCGATGGAATCCACCTGGGCGGCGGCCGTCGCCTGGGTAATGCGGAACTCCTCGTTGATCTTGTTGATTGTCCGGCCGCAGTACTTGATGATACCCTCTACCTTCTTGAGGTGCAGCCTTTTCTGCAAGGAGCTAATGACTCGCTTCCACTCGCTGGAGCTTCCGCGCTGGGCGATGAGGAAATCATCCACATGGGAGTGGATCATGGCAGCGAGCCCTTTGTCGTCGTAGAAGTAGTAAAGGCCCTTCTCGAGCTTGCTCTCGATGAGGCCGTGCTCCTGGAACACCTTCTGGGCGTAGAGGTACCACTGGCGTCCTGCATCTCGGGTGCCATAGATGGCGCCAGTCGCCATCGCGATCTCGCCGGGCAGTGTGCCTGGCGGCGGGTTCTTGGCTGGCATGCGTAGCAATAGCAGCCTCTCGATGTTGCCCGACTGCAGGTAGGCCGTCATCGCGTCGTACGACGTGAGGTCCCAGCCAAGCTGGGCGGCGGCAGCGAGCGTGAGGTAAAGCGCGTCCCTTGACCCGGTCGGCGCGTCCGTGCGGATCTGGGACTTGTCCTCTTGACAGCCCTGGACGACAAGACGGGCCTTCATGAGGTTGGCGGCCTTCTGCGTGAGCACCCAGCGGGTACCAACTGGTCGTGTTCCAGGGCGTCGCTGGAAGATCTCCTTCAACTCCTTGGGCGGTAGCTTCTTGTAGGCCCCGAACTCGGTCCACTTGGACCACTCGACCTTCATGGCCGTGTCCATGAGCTTCTTGTCCTTGGCGGAGAGCTTGTCGTACTTGATCTCCTTAGCAACGGCCTTTCCGGTGAGCATAACCTCCCGGAGTCGGATGGTCGAGTGCAAATCGTCGTCGTTGATCTCAAAGTAGTTGTCCAAGTAGAGGTCGGTCCTGAGTGTGTCTTTCGGCCTCTTGAAGCACTTGGGTAGGTCGTCCTTGAGACTCTCCAAGAATTCCTTGCGCTTGATGGCTTTGCTGCGGTCGTCTGTTTGATCGTGCCTGTCACGTTCAAGGGCGCGAGGTGCGTCCTCTTGTTGAGCTTGGCGCTGAGCCTTGTTGCCGCGTTGTCCTTCAGGATGTTGTGGTCTGCGGGCAAAGGCTTCTCTGCGAACTTCCTCCTCCGCGGCCTTGCTCCAGTCGCGTAGCCCTTCGGATCCGGAGCTGTCGGCATCCGATGAATGTCCATCAGCTTCTGTGCGTCGAGCTCCTGGTGGTGGAAGTCGTGTTCCATCGCGTTCTTCAGGCTGTTCGTCGTGTACTTCTGGTTGCACGGTGGGTTCTGGAGCTGGATCTTCAGCGCGATCTGGGTCTTCTTGGGCTTGTATTTGAGCATGAGCAGGGTCATGAGCAGGGTCAGCGGCAGCAGCTGAGTCAGCAACAGGCGCTGGCAGCCCGGGAAGATCTCCTCCCGAAGGTGCTGGTGCTGAACCGCTGCCTGAGGCGCCCCCACTGGTCGTATATTCTTCATCTCCTTGCCTTCGGCGAATCCACTCAAGAGTAGCATGTGCGCGGCGATTGTGTGGAGTATCTTCGATGTTGCCGAAGTGGTGCTGCTTGATGGCCGTCGGCGGAGGTGGTAGTGCTGGCGGAACGTTTTCCACTCGCGGGCGTTTCTTCGGCGTGTCGCCCGTGAGGTCGATGAATGTATCTCCATCCCCTCCTTGGTCTGATGGTGGTAATCCGCCTCCACCGCAGTCTCCTCCTTCATGTGGTGATCCTTCGTCCCCTTCTCCTGGTCCTGGTGGCTGTGGTCCGTCAGGAGGTGGGGGCTGGTCAGCTGGTGGTTGTCCTGGCGGTGGTGGTGGCTGGTTGCCGTTCATGGCGTTGAGCACCTGTCCCCAGGGCGCGAGCTCTGAGGCAGTAGCGTGGCGTAAATGTCCTCGGTTGACCTTGACGGTGGTGGAACGGTGGCTGACCCATACATTTGATGTGCCCTCGAAGCCGATGATGATGCCGGGTCCATGCCACTGCAAAGCCCATTCGCGCTTGGGTTTGCCGTTCCCCCTCCAGTAGTATACCTGGTCCCCCGTTTGGTAGACATCCGACGCGTGCTGGGCTCCATCCGCACGCGATCGTGCGAGTAAAGCCCGGGATAGGGACTGGTTGAAACGCAGATGCTGGATTGACGTCTGGGCGGCCTTCACGAGGGCAATCCTCTCAGAGAAGGACTTGTCAGAGACCACTCTCTCGTGTAGCGAGAGCCTCCCAGCGCTGTCCAGCAGGCAGTAGGGTAGTTGAAGGCCACGTCCGAGTACCCACTGTGCCGGTGAATACCCACTGGCATTGCTTGAGCTGTTCATAGCCCAGCAGACAGCGGCGAGCAGCCACTGGATCTTGTGGGCGTTCACGGGCTGATCGAACCTGATGCTGAACTGGTCGATCAGCTTCCTGGCGTGGACCTTCCACATGCCGCCATGCCTTTCCACGGTGGCGTTCTGTTGCGGCGTAGCCGCGGCAGTAGTCATAAGGCGACAGCCCATGTCCTCGAGTTCTTTC